GACACTGCCTGCTCCAAATACCCGCTGTCCTTCCACCAATTTGCCGTCATTTGGGATGCCTTCCTCTCAGACATCTTTTATCAAGTACTCCTCTCACTGGCCATGCGCACTTCTATTCCTCTAGCTCATGTCCTCCTGCAAACATCTTCCACCTCCAGCCCCTTCACCTCTTTGTCTTCTCCCGTACCTAGTCCAGTTGGCTCCTGTTCCTTCAGGTATCCAGCCAATGCCTTCAACTCCTGTGGTCCAGTGTCTTACACACATCCTCTATCAACAGTCTAATACTAAGTTGGTCTATGCCCCAAATATTGGCTTGTGTGCTCTGTATTTGTTATTTACTTAACTCTGCCCTCGGGGATATGCACCATCTTCATTGTAGATACGAGAAACCTGAGAAACAAAGCACCTGCCTAGAATTACATCAAAGATTGGAATCGGGCAGCCTGGCCAGAGCCCTGACTTGGTCACTAGGGCTCCCATTTCTCTGCCTCAGTGAAAAGTACCAACATGTCTCTTCTGGTGAATGTGTGAGTGGGGTGCAGGGGCCCTGCTACCCATGTTGCCCCAGCAGTGGCCACGATCAATATATCTAACAAAACCAACAGTTAGGGAGAAAGATACAAAATATGGAGAATTAAGCATGGAGAGAGTAAACCCTAGTGGTACTCTGTCTTTGGTTCTAGTTTCTTGGAGACTTACTACATGCTTATACCTCTTACATTTTTCTGAGTCTTTGGATAGATGATGCTTTTTCTTTTTTAACGTCTAAACCTTACATCCGATGACTGTATCCCTCATTCTCAGCCAAATAATGTGCTTTTCTACAAAGAGAAAACAGAAGTTCTGAGATTGGAACTTCTTAGTGTGAGACTGACTCTTTTACCTGTGAGAGGGGCAATCTTTTCTTCCTTATCTCCTCCTGCAAAGATTCCTATTGTCTACCTGTACTCTGGATCCCACTGGCTACTGACTTCTCGGGACAGTCATCAGAACTATTATCTATTCTCCTTCCAGAATTTTGTCCTCTACCTCCAATGCTTCCTTTCCACCCTCATTTAAATATACTCATTTTCAGAATTCCCTGGTGGTGCAGTGGTGAAGAATCTGCCTGCCAATGCAGGTGACACGGGTTTGAGCCCTGGTCCAGGAAGATTCCACATGCCGCGAGCAACTGAGCCCGTGCGCCACAGCTACTGAGCCTGCGCTCTAGAGCCCATGAGCCACAACTACTGAGCCTGCGCTCTAGAGCCCGCGAGCCACAACTACTGAGCCCACGTGCCGCAACTACTGAAGCTTGCACGAGTGAAGCCTGTGCTCCACAACAAGAGAAGCCACTGCAGTGAGAAGCCCGTGCGCCACAACAAAGAGTAGCCCCCGTTTGCTGCAACTAGAGAAAGCCCATACGCAGCAACAAAGACCCAACGCAGCCAAAAATAAATAAATAAATAACTTTAAAAATAAATAAATATACTCATTTTGAAAATAAGCAAAACAAAACCTCTCCTTCAGCTCCCATCTGCTTCCCAAGCTTGTCCTCTTTACACAGCCAGGGGCCCCTACATTTGCATGCTTTGCTTTCTCATCTCTCATTAAACTTCACCTTTAAATGGAAAGAAATCGCCCTAAGCAAGAGAGAAAAAAGCTAAATCACATTTTTTAAAAATTTAGTCAAAAAAAAAATTAGTAAACCTTTTGTTATAACATACTTTTAGATTTACAGGAAAGTTGCAAGAACGTTGGAGAGTTCTCCCGTTTGAACCTCTTACATTCATCCCGTACTTTGTTACAACTAATGAACTGATACTGACACACTATTGTTAACTGAGGTTTATACTTGACTTGGATTTCCTTAGTTTTCCCCTAACCTCCATATATTGCAGGAGGATCCAAACCAGGACCTCACATAAACGTTTAGTGGCCATAGCTTCTTGGTCTCATTCAGGCTTTGACAGTTTCAGACCTTCCCTGTTTTTGATGACCTTGACAGATTTGTAGAATGTCTTTCAATTCTGCTTTTTCCAGTGGTTTTCTCATGATTAGGTTGGGGTTACAGGCATCTGGAAGACCACAGAGGTAAAGTGCCCTTCTCATGACATCACATCAAGGTCACATGCTATCAACATGACATACCCCAGTTGACACTGACCTTGATCCCTGGGCTGACCAAGTGTTTCAGGTTTCTCCACTGTAAGATTACTCATCTTCTTTTACTACTGAGGAAATTTTTAACAATAAAAGTTTCTAACACTTAACTTTAGAGTATCTAAATCACTAGTGAATGTGGTTACACCTACATGTCTGTGTGAGTTGTCCTTTGTGGAAGTGCACCTTGATTTTGTACCAGGATGGAGAGGCACAGAGACAGTGAGAGACACAGAGAAGCCCAAGCACTCCAAAGATCAGGGCCTTCAAGTGACCAAGAGAATACAAGCATCTGGGGTTGAACAAACATCCTAGGCTAAATGTGGAATCATGAACTTAAGTGGACCGGCAGGGTTATGTTCTCATTATTTGAGAAGTAAAGTTACTGTAACACAAAAAGACTCTAAATACAGACGTTCAAATAGACTACACGTTTGCTTCTCTCTCATGCAACAGCCCAGACATGGCTGGAGGGCTAGCTTTGCCGTCCTTAACCCATGACTCAGCACCTGTGAGTTAAGGTCAACTGCTCCATTTGTCAACACTGTTAAGCCAACAGGAAGCAAAGAAGAATGGAAGGTATCTGTCCTCCTTTCTCAAGAACTGGAGGCAGAAATTGTTCATGTTGTTACCATTATATTCCACTGGCCTGAACTTAGTCATGTGACTGCATACCAAGCTACAAACCAGTGGGGCAATTCAGGATCTAACTGGACGCCCATCTGCTTGCTAAAACTTGGTTAGGCTTACAGGAATAAAGTATCTAGAAGAGAATGGATACTGGGAGAATAAATACTGGTCAAAACGAGATCTTTAACTGAATACCTGGTGGCAGGTTGTTTGTTTTTTCTTCCAATAAAAAGACAACATCTGGACCAAAGTTGCAAATCGAATCAGCATCTTGTTGAGTTTGCGAATCTACATCATTCTCCAAGTCCCACCCACGCATCTCCAACAAGTGAGTCAAATGGGGCTGTGATACAAAACAGTACACCTGACACTCTCCAGTTTTGATGGTGGCCCTAGTCTCTGCTACTCTCCTCAGGAACGCAGTATGAACTTTGTTTCAGTCTTTCAGTAGGGAAGGCAATTCTGTGAGCTTCTACTCTTCCTACCACGCAAATCTTCACTCCATGGATTATGGAGACCCAGGCGCCTCCTGTTTCTGTTCCGACTGTGCACTCGGGTCTTGGGAAAATGATCCCACTGCTTCTCCCCGCCCCACAAAGATTCTATTTTTACCTGACTCTCAGAATCCCACTCTGACTGGGGGAATCATCTGTACTCCGGGACCCTGCAGTTGGAATCAGCGCACAGGCAGTGCTAAGTACAACCTAAGACGCGATACGTTCTCCTTTTGCCGTTTTCAGGCACCCAGGGAAAGGGCCACCAGCCCCTGGAGGAAGGCCAGAGGAGGATTTGTAGTTCATCCCCGAGCATCGTCTCAGGTACCTGGTCTAGGCGGCGTGGCTTACCCTTCACACCAAAGTCTTGAGGTTGACTGAGAGACGAAGACTGCTTCTGCACTTAACCTGGCTTCTGGTTACTAGTCCTAAGGTGCTTCACGTGCACAGGTCAGGTAGGACAGTAGCAAAATTCTTAAACTCTCCGTCACAGAGAAAATGAAAAGAGGATGAGGTGGAGGGTAAGTAATGAGTGGACCTGATATGAGGCCTGACAACAACTAGGAACGTGGAAAATTCACACATCTTGTCCTTACACCCTGCTGGGGTATAAGGTTGGGACCTTCTGACCTAACAGTGTCAGATCTCTGTAACATGCTCGGCAAAAGCCACCCTGTGCTATCACGCTGAAGTGACTGAACTCAGGAATCCACCGTAGCCAGCAGTGATAAGACACAGTTATGCCGAGCCTGCTGCGTTAAATATGAATATGTAATACCTCTCCACAAGCAAGAAAACACACTAGCAATAATTCTGCATTCTCTGAGCTTTTTGGAGTGGTTTTTATAGGTATTATAGTTCAACTACATACACTCAACCAGTACTTCATCACTTACCCATCTAAATGACAAATAGGGGAAAACATATAGGAAAACATATCCATAATTTTCTGAGTTACAGACAAAATGCAGTTAATGATAACCATTTCAATATCCAAACTTAACTTCTTAATTTCAAAACTAAAATTACAACTGAAATAAATTTTGTAGTATAAGTTAAAAGAGTCTGACATTCCGAAGGAGTCTGAAATGAACCTATGTATCTTGATAATTTGCTGAATTTACTGAAACAATGTTTTGGATGTCTTAAAAACGGTTCACCTTATTTTTAGCCTAATTAGTAATGAACAACTTGATTTACTCGCTTATTGGTGAAAAGAAATGGGGAGGGCTTTGTTGTTACATAGGAAACATTATTTTTAGTAAACAAACATCAACATACGTTTCCTCTGTGAACGTAGGGCAAAATCTTCAAATACGATCTGTGCCTTTCCCTGTGTAAGTGACACACGGACAGATTCGATTTAGTTTTAAGATCCGCTCTGGCACTGACAGAACGTTAATAAGCATTCCATTGCTATAGATGTGCACCGTTTTCATTTTTCAATTTTGTTCTTCCTGATAATGAAGTTCCAACTAAATAGCTAGCCAAGTAAACGCCATGTGAGTGTTCGAGGTTGATGGATTACACGCAGTAATTCTGGTTAATGAGGCACTAAAATGACGAGCAGAGAGACCAAGGAACTGGTGATAGCTGGGCAGTGCTGATGACTTCTCCAGGGATAGATACCAGGGGAAGCACTCAGGAATAAGTAGGCTACACACTCTGTAAACAACAAGGGCATTAACTTATCAGGTCAACAGGCAGATTTCAAGAGTGGAGAGGAAAACTTACCTTAGGGCGTCCCTGAAGCTCCTGCATGCACCTGTACCTCTCATCACATGGAAATCAAAGCCTTCTCTTTCTTCAGGTGACTAGAGTTGGTTTTCACTCTCCTGAAACCAGAGGTTTCCTGATCAGTACAGCCAACTCACCAAGCTGAATTATCCCCTTTGTTGTGTATTGGTCTGATATGATTTCCAGCGCACTTGCTCATGACAACAAAGTTGTGATTATAAGTAAAGTTGTTCTGATGTATAAGAGAAATTGTTGTCAGGACGTCATCATGCATGCATGTGGTTAACAACAAAAACATGGGAAGCAGCAGCAGCTAGGGCAGGGGCCTTTCAGACTACACACACCCAGAGTCCGTGAGGACTGTCCCAGGGTGTTTGGTCTGGGCAAGGCGACTGCTGACCTGAATGGCTCTCTGAAGACCCGGGGGCATCAGCTCCAGCCTGGGCAAGGCGACTCTTTGCCGGCAGTGCTGGAAACCATGCAGCAGCCCCAGGAAGGAGGTAATCTCACCCACAACACCTGCACCTTCACTCCCTGGCAAGGTGCTCCAGCAACAAGAATTTTCACTTTGGACCCATCGCCAGCACTGACACACGGCTCTCAGTTGGCCAAGCAACTCTTCAGAGAAGCAACTCAGAGAAAGGTACACCTCAACTAAACTTGGACTCTATTCCTTTCATCCTCCCCTTGCCTGGAACAATAGCGTGATTAATCTATTATTGGCTTGGAGTATGTTACTTCTTTAGTGGCTTATTAAGAGACATTATCCTGTACTCTATTGGCTTGTGAAATTACGGGTAATTTTCGCAGTGAACCTGTGTTAAATAAATTACTGGCAAAGACAATCTCAGTCTCTGAGCGTAATTTGCTGCCCCGACAAAACACCCTTCTAAAGAGCATGGTTTCCTTTTATGATTAAATGTTTGCTATCCATAAAAACTGACCTTGGGGAGACCTAAGAAATCTTTTTCTTCCTACACTGGGGCAATGAGAACAGAAACGATGGGAAGGTTTTGTATGAATTTCACAATGGTTAAGACCAGGAAACTGACAACGTTGATATCTGCTGATATCACAAAACTCAGTAATGGTTTTAATGGTAACTCAAGGTTTTTACCTCTTTCAGAAATAAACATGAAAGTAACAAGTCAACACATATAATTCTCCTGTTTAAACCTTAATTAGGAAAAATGCCCTAGGATATTATTTTAGAAACATGAAGAACCATAGGCTTCTTTCAGCTTCTTAGCTTGCCTTATTTTGACATCAAATTGCATGTAATTGTCCCTGCATGCGTCTGCAGGGACTCATATAAAGACAACTGAATTTAGTCATTGCAAGATACTACCTTTTTAATCGAATTTATCAGTAAGTTTGAATCTATAGCCCCTGGATAGCACTGGGATGAGAAAAAATTCACTGATTTTGTTACTTCCTCGGGCAGCAAGGGGTCAACGGTGTCTGGCCTCTTTCAGCATTACATTACATTAGAGTCTGTGCTTTTAATGCATTAGATACCTTAGAGTCTGCACTGTGAATGGCTCCATTTTTAACAGGGCTGTCAACTGAAACGCAAAGCCTTTCTTTGTAAAGTTCTGCAAAGTTACATATATATTGATCAAACTACAGTCACTCACAGTTTCTATTTAGGATTTGGCTTTAATGGAATAATTTTCCTGCACCTGCTTTGACGTAACACGGCTGAGAAATCCTGCATCAGGAGAGGGGGTAGAGTCTCATGGAGAGAAAATGCCCAGAGAGGCTGCCTACCCCTGCTGGTATCTTCCCTATCGGGGTCCTCCATCCCGGGAGAGGAAGGAGGAGTTGGCAGAGATGACCGAAGGGTATCTGCGCTGGGCCATCCCTTGAGAGGCCGGCACAGAGCCCTATCCAACTCCTACCATACTCTCCTGAGCGTTCTAACGCCCCTGACCAGGTAGAGTCTGCTCCCTGGGGCAGCACACGTTCTTTCTGCACCTCTGGTTCCCAGCACAGACCTACGCACGAGGCAGACACTTCATGAACATTTCCTGAAGCAATGCAGAGTGTTTCCATTCCCAACACCAATGACTAGGACAAATACTTGGACCTTTTTTTTCTTTCTTTCTTCAGTTAAACAGAGAGTGACTACTATCTACAGCCATTTTCTTTTACTGCCATTCCCACTTTTCTCTTGGTTGAAAATGGTAGCACCACTTAACCCCTTAGTCCTTTATTTATAAGTTCCTTATGGAATACCCATAGGTTAGTAAAACGAGGGCCCCTATGAATTGCACTGCCCTCTACTCCTAATTTCCTATTGCCTATTTTTATTTGAGTAAGAGCTCAAATACATTACAAACTTAGAAAGAGCATCACCATGGTAAATATTTTACTTGCGTGATTTATGAAGGCCCACAGGTTAGTGACAATTACTATCCCCGTTTGACATTTGTCATCCGGTGCACAGACGCTCAGATACAGAGCCCCGAGGCGGAGGCCTGCAGTTCCCACCCGGGCAGTCGGCCTGCGGTCCCCCTCCCCTTCCCCAGCACTCTATTATGTCTCCCCTCCAAGCTTGTGCAGGAAAGACTGCAGTGCGTTGTATGAGGTGGTTATTTCATCCCCGTCTCACAGTCAGGACTGAAATCCCACGTGGTTAAGCAAGCTGGCTCAGACCACCCCCCCCCCCCCCAGCAGGAAATGGCAGAGTCGGGACTCAGGCTGTTTGACTTGTCATGCTTCCAGCGTCCTCGCTGCAACAGTGCGCTTTCTGTGTGCCCGGACGTCAACCAGCCACCAGCGCAGCCACCTACAACTGTGGTTTGAAAGGCGTGACACCCCTTTCCCCAGTTCCTTGTGGGGAGAGGGCACTGGCATGGACAAGACTGTCAAGCCAAATGAGGCCAGTTACTCTGTTATTGCTCTCTGATAACCAGGCCACGTTCTCCAAAGACACCTCAAAAAAAACCTTAAAAAGTAAACCTTATTATGTCCTCATCTGTTGCCTCAAATGTTTTCACCTGGAGCAGGGGCAACACTGACTTGCAGAACTGAGTTGTGTCTTGTCTAAAACATATTTTCAGTCTCCTCCCCAATCGGGTTTTCAAGAAGGACAGAAGAACATCTTTGAAAAGTACTAGGGCTAGCTATTTGCAAACAGCAGATGCATCCGAAGAACTGGGAGTGTTGTCTTTAAATATCCGAGATGCTAATACCTCAGAGACCTCTCCTAGGCGTTTGGTTTCACCGTGTGATTTGCTTTGCCAGGCATATTCTATTTGGTTTCCTACTCATCACCGCAGCACTCTAGACTTCAAAGGCACTTCAACGTCGTCGGTTGACTTGAGTCAGAAATCTTTGGCATTCACACAGCATGAGTCATGGCACCCAAAGGAGTTTGCTGGAGCATTTCTCAATCCCTCTCGCTCAAGGGACAGTGAATGTAACAACTCTCCTTAGGAAGCCCTTCACAACCCTTGCTGAATGGTTTTCGATGGCTTTTGCATGGATCTCATTTGGTTTTCTATTAGGAATCCCCTCCTCAATTTGAAGACATCATTTTTTTCTTAACCTATTTATAGTTGAACCAAACTTAGAACAACAATAACAAAACATTACACTAAGGTATATTTCATGCCCAGTTAACTGAAATATAAGTCAAAGAAATTCTTTTGTATTTTAGAATTATAATGACTGAAATCTAATGGAATCTGGGATTCAGTCTTGCTGTTCTAAAATCAATAGGAAATTTTACAGATTTATATTGTGACTGATATTCAGGAATGCCAAACTTCCTACAAGATTCTACGTGATCAGGAATAAAAATGTGATTATAGCTTGGTAGCCTGTAACAGGCCAGGATTCATTAAATTTTCCATTCTGTGGGCTGTCCTGTTTAATCAGTAACTCTTGGCCCAGCCTCATCTCTTTGCCAGGCTTAATAGGTTGAAGTGGATTGAAATGGATTAGGAATAAAGTACCTTTCTGCTTGGAAAAAGCTAGATCTTTGATTGCACTTTAAACTCATATTCAAATTAATTAAAAAAAATACCAAACACGGACACCACAATCCCCTTTTTGCAACTTCCAGTCAACCATAAAACCACACAATTAAGGTATATATGTTTTTTAAACGCAAAGCAAATTTCATTTTTTAAAACGAGTTACCACCACTGAAAGGTTACGTTCCCTGCAGCACCAGGCCCGAAGCATTCTTTGTTTCGTCAGATGACTAAGAAGCTAATTAGAGAATTCTACATGTTTAACCAACTTTAAGACAGAATTGGAAAATGTGGAAAAATATTCTAACAGATGTGTTTTCTTGTAGCCTACGGTACCAGTCAATATTTTTACCAGTGACGCTGTTCTTATTCTGCTGTTTACTTTGGTTACAAGTTTACAGAAATCTATGAAATAATAAGAAAACTTTCCAACCCTTAACTCAACTTTGTAAACCTCCGGTGTGGGATTCCTGTCCCTTGGACTATAAACCACCTCCTATTTTTTTTCCCCCTTTCGCCAGAAATAATTTGAGAACATATCCACTTGGTCTTTAGAACGTTCTGAAAAGAAGGAAGGCCCAGACATGTCTTCAGTTCACAGACTCAGAAAGGGCAACTGGAGACTCCAAGTACAGTACATTGACACTGTGTTAAAATATCAGACTGGGGCCTTAAACAACAGATACTTATTTCTTACAGCTCTGGAGGCTGACAAGTCCAAGGTCAAGGTGTTGGCTGATTCCATGATCTCCCTCTTCCTCTCCTTATAAAGACACTAACCTCAGCAGAAGGGCCCCACCCTTACAACCTCATCTAACCCTCACTACTTCCCAAAGACCCCTACCTCCATATGCCATCCCACTGGGCGTTAGGGCTTCCACATATGAACTCGGGGAACACAATTCAGTCCATGGCAGCACCTTAGCCTCCCCAGTTTCCATTTAGAAAACAGGGTCTTGAGAAATGAGAGCAGGGTGCTGAGTGTACAGAATTCTCAGAGGCTCTGAACAAGCAACCTCAGCAGCCATGGTCCTTCCCCTTGGAAAGAAGCACTCTGGGGACAGTGTATGTGTGTATGTGGCGGGGGGGGGGGAACAAAGCTGCCACTTTCAGGA